TTTGGGGCGCAGGGGGAGCTCATGAGACAGGTACGCTCATGTGGGGCGCAGGAGGAGCTCTCTAGGGTCCAGGGAGAGTAGGTGTTGCTAGTCAAGACTCAAGCAGGTTTGAGACCAGAAAGCAGTGAGTGCCCTGCGGAAGTGCAGGTTGAGATCGGGACTCCAGAGATGAGCTCCGGGCTGCGCAGCTGACTACAGACCAGGGTCCCAGAGGGTTTCTGGATTCCAGCTAGTATGAGGTGCTTAATGACCAGGTGTGCAACACTGTATTGTCATCACATCACTCCTCCCTTTATTAAAGGGGTGTCTAGGGGAAGGCCAGAGTAATATTAGAATGTTACTTGGTGATGTGATTGTAATATTATAATGTTTCAGGTTGATATTATATACCGGACTTATTTCAGCATTAGTTTGCCTCAAGGAGCAAAGTCACGATATCCTGGCAGGAATTGACAACAGTGACACTCAGAGCTCCCAGAGTTCCCTGTTTTTTTCCCCATGAAAGTTAAAAAGCCGAACTCACCCCACAGATGGTCTCCACACGGCTCATGGCATCTGTCTCGTGTGTCCGGGCCAAGCGTGCGACGATATACAATTTATTCATTTTTTCCTCTCTCATACGCGAGTCTCCGAAATTCTGCGGTGCACGCGTTAATGTCGGAAGACTTGTCGGCTGAGAAACGCTGCGCTCGAGTGTCAAGTGAGAAACAATAACCAGATCCGCTTGGGAAAAAAACAAGCTGTCAAGAGTCTCAGCTCGTCAGTTGTTGTGAGCTTATGCAGCCCAGGGGCACAGGAACTTGAGGTGTAGCCTGTTAAAGGAAACTGCCAAAGGTATCCAATAAAAATACATGACCTTGCCGGTTAGTTTGTGAGAATGAGCGTTTCCTCTCACATGGACAGCGTGCAGAGCAGTCATCTCCTGAGCCCAGGCTTCCTGCTGGAGGTTCTGTTTGCAACACAAAACCCCCCAGGCGCTCGAGCTGTCCACAGCAGTGCATCCCGAAGGCTTGCCCCTGCCACAAGTCCACTCAGCAGAAGGAGCCCAGTGAAGGGCGCCTGGCCTCCTGCCTCTCCTGTCGGACTCCAGTGAGCCTGAGGCCCAGCTGTCCCGCTCGGGTCTGTATGGGTGTGGAGTAGCTCTGCAGTGCTGTCCTGTGCCTTGTGTGAGGGCCACCTTGACACACAGCCTAGAGACATAGCCAGAGCGTGCTGACACACACAGAGCAATAATCGAGAGATGAGGGCTCAGCGGGAACACGCAGTGAGTGGTTATTAATACAAATACTAGTTATTCTTATTTATAAAGCACCTTTCTAAACCCAAGCAACGCTGTACGTAGTCATGAAGAAAAAGGCCAACAAAAAGTACAATAAAAAGTAAGACACAAATAAACAAAACACTTCACGGATTCATGCAGATTGAATGTAGGCTAATGAGATACAGCTCTTAGTAAAGAGATTACTTTTGAGTTTAGATTTTGAAGCCAATCAGAGAATTTGTCTCTGGAAGAGTCGGAGGAAGGACATTCCATAACACTGGGGCAGCAACAGAAAAGACACAGTCACCACAAGTCCGAAACTTAGTCCCTGGTACAGAGAGCAAAGGAGCAGCCTCCACTGAAGGGAGCCCACAGGAGGGAGTGTGGATATGAGGTTCGAAGATGCGTGATGGAGACAGATTTCTAAAGCCTTAAAAGTCAACAAGATCTCATATTGAAAGTGTATCTTAACTGGCAGCCCATGCAGAGCCGCCAGTGCAGGAGTGATCTGCCGCCAGGGTCTGGTGTGAGTTAGCGGTGTAGCTGCAGAGTTCTGGACATATTGCAACTTGTTGACAAGAGAGTTAGCGAGCCCAAAGAGCAAAGAGTGGCAGAAATCTCGATTTGCACGAAACAGGCGCTCAGCATCGGACATTGATAGACGTTGCCTAATCTGGGCCACATTTCCACAGTTTATAGTTTTCATTGGAGTTTCCTGTGATGCGCTGTTTCCTGTTCTTGTGCCCATTCCAGACTATTCCTGAGTGGTGGGGTCCCATTCTATGAAGACAAACTCAAAACGTATGGATCTGAATTTGCTACGTTTGACTCTTGGTTAGAAAATGGTGATTGCTTCAGAAAGTGACAGTGCCTCACCAGAGCTAACGGGCTCCGTTCCTGCCATGGGGATTAGAATGGGATTAGAGTTAACTGGGCAGCTGGCGGGACTGGAGATCCTCCAGAGATCCCTGCGAACCGAGCACAGCGCCAGCTTATGAGCTGGTAGGCAGACGGTCCTCAGGGACGGCGTTTGTCTTCCCAAGGATGGTTCCAGCACGTTCCGCTGTCTTGACGGCAGGGGACCCGTCGGTTTCCAGCGTGACGGGAGGTGGGGACGACGAGTGCGAGAGGCGGCCCGTGTCCCCGCCGCTCCCGCTGGGCCGGTGCTGGGCAGGGCCGTCGGCGCTGCGCCCTCTCCTGGCTGGATGGGAGCCCAGCCGGCGCTCGGCAGGCTGACATCATGCGGGCAGAGCGCTGGGAAGCCTGGAGCAGCCTTCCTCCCCCATCGCTCTTCTGTCGTTGAGAAACAATAGCCCTGGAAATCTAGACCCTCCCTGGCGCTGCTGACGGAGCTGCTCGGAACACTTGGTTTCCAAGGAAGCTAGAAGAGGGGCTGTTTTTCTTTCCTAACGGAAACTTTCAAGTGCTCTCCGGCAAAAGAGCGCGCCCCCCCCCCCCCTTCGTGTCAGTATACAGAACCGCGGGGACATAGCGCCAGTCATTGGTTCAGCGCTGGGCTGTCCCCTGCTCACACCCGAACACGACAGAAAGGGCTGGGCCGTACAGACAGCCCGAACAGTTCACAGGGGCCAGGTTGACCTGGCAGGCCGGCCTTGGGAGCTGCAGCTGTCGGCCCGGTGTCTTACTGTTGTCACCTCAGCAAGATGTCCAAGGTTGCAGTCAAGACGAAGAGGAAGCAGTCGCGTGACAATGAGAAGACGGCGTTCATTCGCAGGTTTCTGGAATTCGATTGCCCATACACCTGGAGGACACCCTTCTAGTAATCCGGCTGCAGGCTTCATGAGCCCCGCAGAAGATTCCAATTCATACAGACCTGTAGGTGATTCCGAGCTTGAAGCCCACTGGAATGATAGTCTCCCTGTTCTGGACGTTTCTCACACAGCACGCCTTCCAGCGTAACTGAAAACACACTTTCGACCAGCTGCTGAGGAGGAGGTAGCTGGCAGTTATAAAAACGTTTTGTTTTTTTTCCAGACTTTGCTTCTGTTTTGTCATTGGCTTGTTTTTTTTTGGTTCCCATTGTGCTTATGAAATCCCAAGTGCTCTGGAAATGATCGACACCTTTGCCGTTGCTTCAGAGGCAGAGAAGAGAAGCTCGTCAGCTTTCAGCTATGAAAGAGGCGAGAGGCAAAGCTGAATGAAAACACGATCTTCCGATGTCATCACAGTCTTGTAATTCAGCCTTTTTAGAGAATCAGAGTGGCTTAAGGGACAGGGAGTACTCAGTTTCATTGGTGGTTGTTTGCCTCCTGCGATCATGTGCCGTGCAAAATCGAGGTTGCTATTAACGCCACTGCAAGCATGGCTGCTTCTAAATGTGACGACAGGCCCTGTTACACATTGCATGTGACTGGATCTACCAAAAGATGTCCAGTTTTACCTGTTAATACAAAAGTTCAAATGCCCGTGTACCGAGTGACATGCCACAATGCAGTACACTGTGTGGACTGTCGTGACTGCGCTGTGATCAGTGCTCTTGTGCTGGACCATGTCCTTTGGTTCCTATACTGCAAAGGTTCAAATAATCCTAGCTAAAAGTTCCCTTTTCATCTTTTTTATCTCTGGGGGGGTTAACCGGTCAATTGAAAACCCTGTTCATTGACACGCCACTCAGCCTGGATTCTCCCCTTCTCCTCAGTGGTACACGGGGGTGGGGAGTAAGTGAGCTGAGTGGAGCTGGGGGCTGTGCCGGTTTCCTCCTCCGGCCCGCTGGTGACCGGTGTCGCTTGTCCGCAGGAGGTGGCTCTTTGCAGGCAGCTCCCCATGGAATCGGAAGGCATGCTCGCGGTCCCCCCGGCGGTCGGCTCGGCCGCCATGACCCAGGACATGAGGACAGTCCCGTCCCACGGCTCGGACCCCTTCCTCAACAGGCAAGTTCTCCCCCCCGCCCCATCTCGGCTCCGGTGGAGGAGGGAGGGGGGCGGCGAGTACCGGGGCGTCTGTGACGGGCCGCTGTGGAGGGGGGATGTGTAACTGACGGGCTGTGATTTTCCACTCTCCCCCCCCCCCCCAGTGGGCCGTACCACTCCAGAGAGCAGAGCACGGACAGCGGCCTGGGCCTGGGCTGCTACAGCATCCCCACCACCCCTGAAGACTTCCTCGGCAACGTGGACGAAATGGACACAGGTGAGGGGGCTGATCCTCTCCTCGGAGGGGGTGGTGTTAGCCCCGCTAGTCCTCCGCCCGAGGCAGCGCGGCTCCTTCAGGAGCGTTTCAGCTCCTGCGGCTCCTGCGGGGGGCGCTGTTGCATGGACGAGGCGTCGGCGAGGGGCGGTGGGTGGGGGGGGGCGGAGGCGAAGCACCTCGCTGGGGGAACTCTGTAACCGGGCACTGGTCGTAATGGGAACGTGCCCCGCCCCTCCCCCCGCTGGAGAATTTAGAGTTACTGGTTGAACCTGACTGGGAGGTGGGAGGAGCCAGAGTCCCAGGGGAGCATGCAGACTCCACACAGACCGGCGCGCCGAGCCGGAATGGATCCCGGGAGCCGTGAGGCAGCCCCGTGTGTACCTTGGCGCTAACCCCGCGGCCTGTCGTTCGCAGGGGACAGCATGGGCACGGGCACCATGAGCGTCGGCCCGCAGACCCGCTTCCCGGACTTCCTGGACTCGCTGCCCGGCACCAACGTGGACCTGGGCACGCTGGAGGGCGCCGACCTCATCCCCATCCTCAATGACGTGGAGTCGGTGCTCAACAAGAGCGAGCCCTTCCTCACGTGGCTCTAGGAGAGAGACCGGCCCGGGGTTCGATCGAACCGGCCGCCCCCCCCCAGCAGCGCTTCTTCCCAGAGACGGAGGACCCTCTCGGCATCCGGCCTGCGGTTCGAACCGGGCCCCAGTCTGCACCCCTCCTCCTTCTCAGCTAACCAGAGGCTGTGCGCGCCGGCTTTCAAGATCCAACGGACGTCACGTCATCACAGCTTCCTCACAGTTGGACAGAACAAAGCTTGACGTTTGAGAACAATTCGGAAAATTTGGCATTGTTTGTTCGGCTCCATTATTCCCTGCCACACCCCCGTCTTGATTTTGTCGGTTTTCATTCACGCCCGATTTTTCACGCATTCCTGCGGGAGAGTCGCATTTCCTTTCCCACAAGGCCCTAGCGGCTTGCTTACTTGTGTTGGCTGTGGATGTTGTTTCCTCACTTGCGAGGTTTGTTAAGGCACACGACCCCCAGCGGGAGGGCAGAGGCTGCTTGTGGACATCCAGTCCTCCAGGGGTCACTGTCGCGTAGCTCCCTTTGTGCTCCGGTGGGGAATTCTGGGCCACAGCTGGTTTTGTCACTTTTTTCCTGGCTTTCACCAGAGTTACAATCTGCTCACCCCTGGAGCAATAATACGTGTTTTATTCTTGCCTCGGAAATTAAACCAAAAATATTTCTTTCCATAATGTGCATTGTGATCAAAAGCTTTAAAGACAAAAGATTTTTTTTAAACGTTAAATGGTGTATTTACAATTTAAAGTTGTTTTTTTAATGGTTTTGTTGGCATTTAAACAAATTGTATTCTAGTCTTTATTTGAATTGATGTGTTTTATATACGTGTACTTACCTGTGTAGCTTTTAGAACACTAATTCTTAAATGCCTCAAAATTTGCAAAATTGCAGATGTTTTGTATTATGTATCTTTTTTATAACACAGTATTCCTTTTATATACTGTAAAATAGTCCAGATTAGTTATTTTAAAAGCGACATCTGGTGCCATTTTAGAGTTTTTTTAATATAGAGTTTGCATTTTAATATTTATCAAGAGCTATGATTTTTTAGAGAGAGATTTTAGTTGTTTTTTAAAAGAATTTGATACATCAAAGCACTACATTTTACATAAGCCGTTACGGATTTAAAGATTTCTCTATATGAAATGAATGTTGTGTTTCAGATGATGACTTGATTACACGAGAAGCTTGCACTTTGTAAATGCAAGTGTTGCTACATGAATAGTTTCAAATGGCGTTATAAGGAATAACAACTTCAGAAATATTTTATACTTACAAAGGGTCAATATTTAAAACCCAAAGTATAACACTTCTGTTTGATATTTGTACTGCAGGGAATAAACAAAGCAGAATTTTGCATCTCTTGTAATATTCAGCTAGAACAACATTGTGGGTCGATGAATAGGTTTAATTCTGCAAAACCTATACAGTAGTTGGACTGTTTTTTTAATGTGCATGTTAAAGTACTCACTTGCTATGCCTAGTGTAGGTGGTTTATAATCATACTATTTATCTTGATTATACTGTGTTATATTATAGACCTTTAGGACTGAGAAGGCAACAAATCAGATAATAGTAAAGTCATCTGAAAAACAGAAAAAAAGACAGCTTTTGAGTATGTATGTATTTAACAGGGATTGATGGAACCTATTAAGAGCAGTGTAGTTCGCTGGGAACCTGAGGCCTGAGTGGACTAGACTTCTGCCCAGTCTTTTGGCGTTGCAGAACTCACCACAGTCCACAGGAAGCTGGGACATTTTTGAGGTCTGTGATTGAATCCCAGCGGAGCTACAGTACGTACTGATACCTGAGGCATTTAGATACTGCTCATGATGTCGTAAAGCCAGATTAAATTCGACAGATTGACTTGATTTTTTGGGAGGGGGGTTCATTGCAGTCAAGAGCCAGAAACTCTTTCCCGTCTGACGGGCGGTTTTGCTTTGTCGCAGGACGTGGAGTTTAGATTAGCCTGCTGGCTGAGGGAGTGAGCGAGGGGGGTGATCCGCACGTTCACAAGTGGCCACTTTGTTTCTACAGCGAGTGGTACCGTGTCCTTGGAGTGTTCTGGAAGGTCGGGGTTAGAAAATGGCCGCTAGCTCATCGGTGGAGAAAGAATTAAAAAAAAACTATTACCAAAAAGCAGTAAAAAGAAGCAAGTTCATCTGTAAACGTTGGAATGAGAACCTGGAGAAAAGTCAGATTTATAATTTCTTAAACTCTTGATTCCTGTATGTGAGACAAACACTTGATGAGAGAACACTAAAAAAAATGAACAAATAATGCAGTACTGTAGATATTTTGTTTGAATTCCAAGCTATTTTCCAGCGTTTTTCTCTAAATAAAAAACTTCTATCTATATTATGTTGAAAATATTTTTAAAAGACATTTCCAGAGTTTCTTTCTACTAACTTAGGACTGCCGTGTGTGGGATATTTTAAACTAGAGGGGAAAGGGAGGTTTTGTGGCCTGCTACAGTGCTCAAGCAGGCCTGCTGGAACCAGATGGAAAGTAGCTGTGTGCTCTTAACGGGAGTAGGTTTTAGGAAATGTGAATGTCGCTAGCATGCTCACGAATTAATAAAATCACAGGCTAACAAGTTCTGTGTTTATCTAGCAGCAGTGTGGCGTCCACGTCTGAGAATGTAATCTCAACAAAGAGTTTCTGAAATTGAGACACAATGCCCTTGTACCTTCCTTTAAAAAAATCAATAAATTTAATGGTTTCAGGATCCAGAGTTCTTAAAAAGTAGTTTGCTTTATGTGTTTCTTTGACTGTTTATCCTTTCTTTCAAATGTGGACGGCTGTATTCGGTGCTGACAGACTAGCGAATGAATGCACTTCTGTCATTTCTTATGAACTATCCACAGTTACTTTGAACACTTAGTTTAGCGTGATGCCACCGGAATATCCTGCCTTTTATTTTTTGAGAAATTACTCTCTGAACGTGTTAAAGGTAGTGTGCCTTACTTTATTATTCTGTAAAGCTTCTCCAGAAGTGTACCCCGAGGAGTGGCGACTGCTCACTCTGTGGTGCTCCGGGCTGCTGGTGGGCAGTTGGGAGTCTGGTGGGGCTTATTCCAGTCTGGGCTCTTTGAGGAGCTCCCAATTAACTGGGGCTGTGCAGCTTCACGCTTTTGTTCCATTAGCCCACGTGTGTCTGTCTGAGCGAGTGCCGACGATTCTGCTGCACTCGGCTCTCATGAGACCCTCTCGCACCTTCAGCTTGTCGACTGGAGCTGCAGGCGTTTGCCCGGCATTGGTCCTGTGTCCTCAGCCCACATCGAGCTGGACAGGACAGCAGCTGCTAGCGAGTCCCTCACTAGCGAGCTCTGTGTCTAGGCCAGATACAGGCCAAGGGCTGAAATGACTCTGAAACGTGACTTTCAACCATCACACACCTGTTCAGTGGAATGGTAAAGTTTCGTCAAGGAATGCAATTTCAGCCCCCCTGAGGGCTCCAGTTAAACTTGACATTGTCTGATTATTCTTTTTGTCCCGACCTCAACTGTAGCCTCTGTTCTTGTCGGCTTTTGTCTGCTAAGTTGCATGGGGGGGGGGAATACTTAACCTGGCATCTGCATATTGAAACATTCCCGAATGATTTTCAAAAGATTCTCAGGACAGCCCTCATTTTGCACATTACTGCAACTCGTTAGTCTTGGACACAGCAGACCACCAGGGTCCTGATGCACGTGTTTAAAACCCCGAGAGGCCACTGACAGTCAGCCCAGCGGATTTCTTCAGAATGAACAGTGAAACTCAAACTGGAGGGCACAGCTGGCATCTGCGTGGCAGTGTATTAAAAGCCTGCCTTCCACCACAATCCGATAAGAGACTCCGGCTAACGTGTGGTGGCACTTTTCAGCACATCACTGACACCCTGACGCTGGCCTCCAGAGCTGTGGGCTGGGAGTTCGAGCGGTCCCTGCAGAGAAAATGGAACCATCACTGAGCCTGATACTGCTCTGTTGAAGCACCACTGAAGCAAGCCAAGTTCCTGTGCTCCTGTGAACACGAGCCAGGGAGTTTGGGGGAGAGTTCATGTGCTTCCCTGTGTAAATGCAAAGGGATTCCTTTGGATTTCCTACAACTGATATAGCTCAGACGAATTAACCTCGACCTGGGGTGGTTCCGAAAAAAACCCCACAAGCGATCAATGAAGAGAATTGTGCATGAATGCAATGGTAAGTACAGTGCATGAACTTCTCCGCAAGCTTCGAAAAGGTTCGTACAGCTTCCAATTCTGTGCACTAGATGGCGCACTGAAACAACATAAAAAAGACACTTCGCCTTACGGACGGAAAAATATTGAAGCAAGTTTCCTTTTCCTTTCCTTTTTTAATTAATTATATACAGTGTTGTGCATTCAAATGCCAAGCTTGTGTTTCTGAATTGTCAATGTTATATAATTTGCATAGTATATAATAATCATCTTGATCATCTTAATACTAAACACACAATTTAACATTTTTGTTATTCTTTTCTGGAACGAGAGGAGGCTGGCCACTAGCGAATGGCACGGAAAACTAAATGCTCACGATGGTAGGCAGCGTTGTGTTTGAAGTGATCCTTTTTAAAGGCATTGTATCAAAATCATAATACCGCTGCTCCAAAAAATACAGGACACTTCAACATCTCAGTAAGTGTTCTTGTGGATCGCACTTATCGGGGGCTTCGTCCTTCACCTTCAAGCTTCAGGTCCGATGCTCTAAAGGGAAGGGAGAGAGAGAAGAGAAAAAAATAATAAGAATAATTAATTAAGGAAGGACTCATGTTTTACAAACTTTCGAGGGTGGGGCTGGAGGCGTCGTGTCCTTGTCAAACCTGGAGCGCATGTCAGCGCCGCGCGTACTGATGTGGACAATTTGAAAGCTCCGCTTCGACTCGTGAGAGACGGCCGATGCGCCTCTTTTGACACACCTGTCTGCAGCAGCCGGCGCATGTCCCGCAGAGTCCCAGGAGGAAAGTGTTCAGAAGCTGAAAGAAGAAAATGATGAACTCCGTGGCCCCCAGGCCGAGGAGGATGGAGAAGAGAGACGCGTTCCACACGACGATGCGGGCTGGCTCCTTGCAGCTGCTCCACCTCGTGGTATTGAACAGGTAACTGCGTAGGACAAGACCAGGAGAGGCCGTGAAGTCGAGTATCTGTAAGCACAGAGGCTGAGTGGAAGACGCGCCAGGTACGGGCGTCTATTAGCGCCTCTGTGGAAGAAAAACGAAACGAGATAACGCTGCAAGAATGATTACGTAAATCATGTCGACACAATGTCTTAAAGGAGTGCAATAATATTGTCCCATGCAAAGTTCTATTTTTCCCTAACAAAAATAAAATATCTTCACCCTCACGTTTGTGCAAATAAAGCGGTATAAAGGAGCACGTACTGTAGCGCGCCTTTCCTGTACGTCAAGTGTGACACCGTCTCTCTGAGCGTTCCCGGGTTAAACAAGTGTGTGTTTTACCTTTTAGTGGAAAGCAGAGAACACTCGGGCTTTACAAACTTTTTTTATTCTTTATGTGAATCTGCAGACACGCGTAGGATAGGTTTTTGCCTAATCTTTAAACAAGGCAGAATACATTTACGATGAGTTAACAGTAAGGTTTTTAAACCTCCTGTTAGTTTACAGTCGTTCTGCATCGAAGCATAAAAAGACTATGAGCTTTCAGACTATGCTCCTATCGAAATATTACCTGAATTGGATTTACGCAGCAAACGACATGAAACACGAAGGGGGAAGAAACTGACAGTATATCTGCAACATTCAAAATAAAATAAAAAACAATTCCAGGACGAGAGTTGCCGTAGAGAATCGTGCATTTCTGAAAGGAGGCCTGCTGGTGGCGATGTATTAGCAGCAGGATCTCGGAATAACGCCATGTCATCTCGTTTTAGACGCGATATTTCTTTCTTCGTGGCGCTATGAACCGTGACAGTCAGGGCGCCTCGAGTGCGGAAGAACAAGAAAAGGAACCTTTCTCCTTCGTGTAGAGGTAGAATACATCTGAAATAATTTACTGTAATTATATAATGTTTTTTTATAACTAGCTATTCCCATTCTGTCAGCCCGTTCAGCACCTCGGGGTGGGAATGAAGGCTCATTTCTTCAGGGGTTGGTAGTGTGTTTCATCCTTCATCCTTTAGAGCAGGGGTTCCCAGTGCTGGTCCTGGCGAGCCCCACACCTGCTGGGTTTCAGTCCCTCCCATCTCCAGCAGATAACTGAGGCCTTACTGGATCAACAAGGAGCTGCTCCAGTTCAACATTTGCATTTTGTTAATAGTCACAAGTTTGGGATTTTTATTCCATTTACACAAGACAGCAGTTAAAGAGCTGGGAACAAACAGTTCAGATTAATCTTGTTATTATAAGTCAACGAAGGGTTTGATTGTGTCACTGAAGGCTCGGCTGGCATTAACACCAGCAGGCGTGTGTGTCACCAGGATGGGGACTGGGGACCACTGCTTTAGAGAAAGGAAACGTCTGGAGAGCTTCAGTAATTTCCCGTTTAATCTGCACTGTTGTGCTGTGTTGCTTTTGCCTATCTGGCTATCGAGACCGGGGAGGCATTCGGCACCATGTAAATAAGCTCCAAATGTACCAGTTCTAGCTCTGAAACACAACCAGACACAGAAAACTGCTGCTGCGTGATATTTCTGGAGATTTTTCTGAAGCCGCTTCTTCATTTCTTCATCATCATCATCATCAGTAATCTTTCTCTGTACTCCTCCCTGTCAGGGTGGGGCCGGCCTGTTTTAACACGGCAGCGCAGGCTGAGTTCAGGACCTGCAGCCGGGGCTTGGAGCAGTCGCGTCTACTGTCGCTTTTTTTGGTCACGCTTGCGATCTGGGTCGGCGCCTCTACTCACAGGGCCGGTCAAGCGCTGGCTGCCCACTGATACAGTGAGGCAGCTAGATCGTTTCGGTCCCGAATACAGGAGAGACCGCAGGAGGCTCTGACCACGTTACTCAGAATCCTGAAAGGTGCTGACGAAGGCAAAACCACAGGACAGAAGTGAAGGGCAGTTTGGGAGCAAGAATGGGAAAATACACTTTACACAAAGAGGGGTGGGTGTCTCCATCACACTGCCCCCCCCCTCTCCTGAAGCCAAGGGGTAGGATCCCTGGGGACAACAGATTCATGAATGAAGAAGCTCCTATCAGTCATATGAGCAAAATTCCCTGCATGACCTCCCCTTGTCTATAACAGTTGAGTGTTACTGTACCTGTTGGCTCTGAAGAGACCTCTCTTTAGGACTGGGAAATGTCTTCCCTCTAAAAAACAATGGCTGATTAAAGCAAAGAGCTCGGCATTGTGTTTATCAACAGAGCCTGGCTCTAGAAAAGCAGCCCTGTCCTGTGTGCCCGTTTGACATTACCTGCCCGAGCTGTTGGCGAACGGGTAGTCCCAGCCAGTGGCAGATATGCAGTAGGGCCCCTCAGTCAGTGCCAGCGCAGACACTAACAAGCAGTACAGGGACCCTGTCATTCCAAACAGTGTGGCCACGAGTGAGCTCAGCATCTGGAAAGCAAACCACATGTGATCACAGACAAATTCATTCATTTCAATCATCAGTCTCTGAATAGACTCATGCATGAAATGTGTCTCATAAGTAGTAGTTAAAATATTTTTTCAGCTGTTCTGGACTGGTCAACAAGCTGTCGTGTGATCTGGTTTTTTATCTGTTGGATGAGCAGACCTCAGAATCCCAGTCTTTTGGAACACGTGTCGCATGGATGTTTTCCGAACTGCAAAAGGAAACGAGAACCTATTTCCCCTGTCCTGTACATGACAACGACTTCAAACCCTGTGTAGAAACCGGTAAAAGAAAAGTGATGCAGGGAGCAATCTGGACCTGACTGAGATAGCTGTGTGCTGTCAATCACACACGCTTCGCTACAGACTGAGAGCTGTGCCGGTCCTCCTGTCAGAGCTGGGAGGTGAGGAGGATGGTGGCGTGACCCCGGCGGGCACAGCTCACCGGGCAGCCCTCGGCACACGCCACGTGCCCCTCTCGCGCACTGCAACATCTTCCTTCTGGCCCCCGCAGCATCCAGGCAGGAGCGATGACCTGGAGCGCAGCAGAGACACCGCGGTCAGAGCTCCGAGGAATCCGCGCCCGTCCGGTCTGCAGCAGGCCGAAGGCTCCTGGAAGCCCCGGAGGAACACGTCCTGGCTTTGTGTGCTGGGGGGCAGGGCGTGCTCGTCAGGGGCGAGTGTGCGTGTCGCCCGAGCCTCCAGTTTGGGGGACTTTAGGGATTAGGGGTGCTGGCACCTCATGAGCAGGGAAGTGTGTGTGTTTTGAAAAAAAAAATATTGTTGTCACCTTTGACATCGTTCTTGCAGACTCATTTCATTTGATTCGCCCAGTGGAGATGTGATGGATTTGTTTCTGTAAACCTGCCCTTACTGTACAGGTATACTGTAGCTGTGTAGGTCGTACTGGTAGTTGGAGTCACAGGAACATTGGCGTCTTTAGCAGTAGCAGTAGTAGCAGCTGTATCAATCATGACAGCTATGCAGTACTTCACTGCACTTGGCAGTGGCTATTATCTCAAATTTTATCTCAAAAGATTAAGGCTCTTTATTTTTGTCTTGACCACACTTAAGTTACTGCAGTATGCTAACGAAACTCAACAGATGCTCTTTTTGAGCTGTAAAATTTTGTTTTTTTAATCTTGGCTGCTCTGTGATAAAAACAGTTTGTTAGAGTAGGGATAGCCTGCTGAAGAAGTTCTGTTTCTTTTCCTTTGGATTTTAGAGGTTTCAGTTTCACTGAATGATTACTCACATAGAGTACACTGTGACTCCATGTTAGTGTTCTATATTAAAGAATTTGGCTTACAATGTTTTTCTCATCACAATGAGCGTATATCTCTCGTATGCTGGTATGAAATACACTAGTGTTTTACTTGTGTTTTGTAAGAAAAAAACACAACAGAAAACCGTTCTTTTACTTTCACAACGCACACCACGCCGGTCTTTGAAATGCTGGCATGACACTTACCAGGAGGCCGCCTCCGATAATTCCTCCGAAAAACCACACGAAGTTGGTCAGCTGGTTCCCACTGGCGTAGCGGGTCTCTCCGTTGGGAAAGTACAGCAGGAGGTTGGCCAGGATGCTCAGGGCCGCCAGAGGGAAGAGGGAAGCCCTGGCGCACTGCTCGAGGCACATGGTGCGTCGCCCCCGGGCACCTCAGGGTGGCCCACACCCGCAGCCCCAGACTGGCCGGCCACGCGCTCGTAATGCCCGTGAACTACTGCCCAGGGGAGTCCTCTCCCTGCCTCCCTGCCTCCCGAATGTTTACAGCCGCCTCTGCCCTCTTGTTTGCTCACACGGTTTGGTTTCTATGGCATGGTGTGTTATTTTAAGGCCATCCCAGTGGTTTTTGAAAAGAAGGGAAAAGCGACCGTGAGGCTGAGCCTTTTAACCGTTTGTCTTGCCACATGTAGAGATGTTGTCTTGCCTCGTTTCGAAGGATATTGACTGGCTCCAGCCGGGTTGCGTGATACGGCTCCCATCGGGAATTCCATCCCCAGTTTCTCCTCAGAAATGATCATGCCAGGAGGAACACGATCGCAGAAGCGAGTAATTTCCAGACTCAGAGACAGCTTCTTCCCTCAAGCCGTCAGCCTGCTGAACTCTACCCCCACCACTGGCTCACACTGATGGGGTTTTTTTCTAAGATGTATGTTAATTTACTTGCTGTTGTTGCCGGTGTTCTGTGTTTTGGGTGTTTCCTTGATGTCTCTGTATCGGAGCACACATGCAAATAAGCATTTCACTGCACTTGTGCAGATGACAATAAACTCTACTCTACTCTGCATTGCCAGTTAAGGGAGATGGAAGAGGCGCCCTGAAGGTTTTGCCCAAGAAGTACTTAAACCTTAATTGCTTTAATTGATCGGGCATCTGATCCCAAACAGGGAAGAAAAAAATCAGTTTCTTTGAACCCGCTGCTGTCTAGTCACAGATGCCGCAGGTGGTGTTACCCACTCCAGTTCCATTCAAATGGTGCAAAAACCTTCAGTTCTGATAAAGCTGGTCTTTAACAGGCCCTTCCTTAATATTCCTTCTCTCTCACTGCCTTCTTTTAAGGATCTAGTGCTGGGGATGTAGGCTCTGCACTGTACCCTCATATCAAACAATTGAGGTGCCATTCTCAAGGAACAATGAGTCAATGAATATCGAATGGATTGTCCCAAGAACTTTCTGATGTTGGCCGTTTTGTTCATATTCATCATCTGAGCCATTTTACTCTGATTCAGCTGCAATATGCAGTGTCTGACAAGGTGGTGTGTATTTTTCCCTTGTGGGCTAGATACAGTGTCCATGGCACCGTTACAGGGTCATTCATGGATGTGAATATTCTGTTGAAATGGACCTGATCAACAAGACCTAGGCCACATGTCCTACTGCTGTCTGGAGTATCATGTTATTTTCTACCTTGGGGGAAAAAAAATAAGTTCACATTTGTGTTTTTAGAGACCATATGTGAACAGAGGTACTGTATAACCGTATTAATGGGTCAGTCAGTTGATTCTCAGGGTTAGTTTTACAGACCCCGGTCAGAAAAAGTCCTTGTTTATTTAAATAAGTCTAAAGTGGTCCATCGTTAATGGAGCAGGCTTTGGGACCCTACAGGGACACAGAGAAATCATCAACTTTAAATGGGTAAAAATTAGATCTGCAGAAATTACCAGAGAGAAAAGTCACTTTAAAGGAGGCGTATTTGTTGAATGTGACAGCTTTAATTTAGTCCTGTTTTTCTTTTGGCTCTTTGTTTCACATTTATTTTGGAGTCATAATCCATCACAGTCTTGCTTTTACCTGCCAGCAGGCAGGCAATGTAAAGAATAAAGTGCTCATTGGTACCTGATAATCAACAGATGAAAATGAACATTGTTTACCTAACATAAAGGAAATGCCTGGTGTTCATTTTACTACGTAGGTGATTGTCTTGTTTATCTTTAGTACACAGTTATAAATGACTCATTCCCAAAACTGTTAGAAGAACAACACAAATATCAATTAAATCTAACAGTTCCGCCTTTATTTAATGTTTGGGTTTGGGCAGGGTGGTGTTGAAAATAACATTTTCAGTATTTAATCTGCTGGACATTGGGATTAAAGTAGGTCTTTGTTCTAAAAGCATTCTGAAGTTAAATATCTTAATATGCAGCCAGCCAGCCAATAAATATGCAGTAGTAAAACAGCACAAACACCTTTGCCATCACCAGACCACTGACCATGAGGTCCTCTGACAAAAAAAAAATCCACACTGTCAAAGCCGGGTAGTAATAGAATCTCTTCAGAATAGCAAAATAAAACTTTACAAATGTATATATTTATAAAAAATACACCTTATGTATCCCGTATATCCTGGATGTACAGGGTCTTTAAAAATACAATTCCACTCAAACAGGCCCATCTCCCTACAAAAAAAGAACAGAAAATAATGATTAAATAAGTTTATCATCTGCATGATGATACAACAGCTGACATTATAATAATGGCCAAGTATCCGCTGGTATAGGCAAAATAAACCTTAGCACTAACGGAATAACGACGTTAACACAGGGTTATTTTTCAAAGTTTCTAGTCTTTCCAATCCAATGTATATGAAATACAAATGTTTCCATTCATTTACATTAAATGCCGATCACACTTAATATCACAGTAATAAATTCAATGACCCCCTTCGGCTTGAGCTACAGCACAATGTGTCCCCACTGCATCCTGATCAGCATTTGATTCATTTTCCAAGACTGGGCTCCAATCGAAAAAGAAAGAAAGAAAGGCGTCTTTCCTTGCGCTGCATCTGCGCAGAATTTGAAACGCTTACTTTTCTTCCTTCACTCCTCGGTCCAGGAACAGCAAGGGGTAGAATTTACGCCGTTTCACTTAAATAAGCTCCAGCTTTTCTCGAAACATGTAGCCTAACCCTCACCTTGGCCCTCCTGACATCACGGCACAAGGGATTCTCACAACCTTATGACAAAAGGCCCCTAAACGCCGCTGGCGCGGTTTTGCTTCAAAATTTCCCGGTGTTTCGGATGCGGGGATCCAGGGAACTTGGTTCGGGCGTCGGACGCGCACAATGAAAACAGAGCCGTGAGAAGTGAACGGCGCACGAAGAGCCGCCGCCGCACCGGGAACGGATCGGCCAGTAGATGAAGAAATAAACAGACGCGACAGGCGGTGAACCGATACTCACCCCGCAACAGCCGCAGCTGCAGTCCCCGCAGATGGTGCCGATCAAGCCGTTGACCACCTGGACGGCGCAGAGGACGATCTCCACCCCGCTCATGATCAGCAGCAGGGAGAACAGCGTCAGGTTCCAGGGCACGACGTCCGCGGGCTTCTCGCAGTCGCCCCAGAGGGTGTTGTTGGACAGGTAATTCCTGCCGGGGACAAAACAGCGACGGGGGTCAGATCAGGACACAAAACAAGGACAGCCATCGCAACTTTCCCGTGTGTTACACACCCCCCTCCACCCCCCAAAAAAAAAATCCGGACTGCTGGTCGAACTCGAAACTTCGACTAACTCCAGGAGTGCTCGGACCCGATTCAGGGCAGAGTTCCCGGAGCGTCTTGTGTTCAGAAAACCCATCACCGAGACCTGTGCTTGCAGTCTGTGACTGGCAGGTGCGTCAGATTTCTTATTTAATCTATACCTGCGCCAGACCGAAAGAAGGCCTTCCGTCACACTTGAAATGTCAGTTGTAATAAGCTCAAACGCACAGACCAGTTTGCGTGGTTTGTGAAATAAACACGGGAGAAACACTGGTGTAACAGCTACCCAAGCTACTGGAAACGCAGGCCTAGTGAGGAGGATTAAAATTCGCAGAGCTGTTTCAGCGAGGCCGTTGAGGCTGTGACAAACTTGGCAATCGCGTCCAACTCAAAAATAATATTTATGTGTCGGACAGCTGTGTGGCAATTTATTTTGGTGTTCCTAGTGAACTTAAATCAATCCATAACGCTCGGAACAGGGACGGGACACACTATAAGACCGGGGTTGAAGGTCCATGTGGATTAAAGATGGTGCTAATGAAGCTACAGTGCCTCACTGCTGGTTTTCTTTAACACTGTGCCCTGTGCGTGTTGTGGAACATTTTGAGTTTAAAACGGTTTGGTCAAAAGGATGTACGATACCACGTACAAAAGCCAAGGTAATACAGAAAGAACGTGGGATCAGGGCGTGTGTGAGTTGTGCTTTCGGATAATTACTTCACATGACTGAAAAACTTCGCTCTTGTCGCTCAAGTTAACTGTCTCGAGCCCGAAAACTCTTGTCTCCCTTACCCGTTTTCAAAAGGGTAACTCCAGTTCCCGTTGTGTAAGCATTTGGGACCTCGATTAATAGCCACAGAAGATATTATGAAGGAATAACCAGCTCCCAGGACTCCAATTCCTGCAAATATGATGGACGTAAACATCTGCAAAAGAAAGGGTATTAGAATCAGCGTGAAACGTTTCTCATACCTGATGCCCTTACGAACAATGTCTGAGCAAAGACAGTATTTAGCGACTGGATTCTCGATTTGTGAAGAGTGACTCCAGAGCAATTAATACCGTAAAAAAGGGGAGTCGTCCTTCGGATGAGGTGTAAAACCGAGGTCCTGACTCCCCGTGGCCATTAAAAATCCCGTTTCTCGAAAAGAGTAGGGGTGTTACACCCCTGTGTCCTGGCCAGATTTCCCCCTGGCCTTTACCAGTCATGGGCTCCTAATAACCCCCCTCTCTGAACGGGCTTCATCACTCTGCTCTCCTCCACACTGAGAGCTGGTGTGTGGGGAGCGGACTGGAGCATCATCCAGGTGGGGCTGCACACTGGTGGTGGTGGAGGGGGATCCCCATTACCTGTAAAGTGCTTTGAGTGTCCAGAATATAAGTGTAAGCAATTATTATTATAAATTTAACCAAAAAGTGTTTGGGAAAGGCTGTTCACAAAGGTTTTGAATTTGAAACCCCTCCCCCCCCTTTGAATTTTTATAAACCATAAAACATTACATGCAAATCAGTAGAAGGGGATTTTCTTCTTATCACGTGTCTGAGTAAGAACTGGACGTATGTGCAGCTCTTCCATTTCCTGAGTAAATTACAGGTGTCGGGTGAGAACGGGAGCAGCCGGAGGATCCGGCCGGTGAGCCGACGATCCCGGGGGTCCGGTGTGCGAGCCGTGACTGCACCCGCCCCTCAGTAACGCCAGAGTCCCGCGGCCGTCCTGCTGGCAGGACATCTGGCTTCAAAGGCTTCGCTCAGATCCGTGTCTCTGGCCGAGACGGCCGCAGAGCTCCGCGCGGCGGAGAGCCCGCGGGAGAATGTGTGGTGTGGTGCCGGCCGCGCGCCGGCGATCCCGCCAGCGCCTCACCGCGAATCGCTGGCCGCATTCCGCGTTGCCACAGCAGCCACAGCAGTCGTTGTTCTTCAGACCCAGGAAGACCAGGGCCGGGAAGATCATCTGGAGAGGAGAGAGGCGATGTCACCGCGCCAGGCCTCGGAGCTCGACCGGAGTCCCCCCTTTTCATTCCTTTTTACGGCCCACACCCCAGTCCACTCCGACCCACTCCCGCAGACTCTAAAACATTTTCAATTTTCCACATGTTTTAATTGAGTTCCCAATATTAAGGGGCATTAAGCGGTGAGCAAAGAGAAATGGAGCTTCTCCCTTCCTCTGAAACCCAGTTTAAATAAACAGGGGTCAGAAACACGTTTGCACAAAGATGAAGGGCTTGAGATGCGTTCCAGGCTTCTGCCACCGCCATCGCTGTGACTCCCCTGCCTTTGAGCCGAGGCTGTGTTTCAGAGGCACAGCCTGGGGCTCCTGTCTGTCTTGTGGCTTAACTGCCATTAAATCCCCCACTCAGCTTGAGTGCTCACTCTTCTTCTTTCACCCTGGATTGGGAACAAACAATCAAAAATCCACGTCTGGAGAGATAAAAAGGCCCACTGCAATCCCCCCAATTCAACCCCTTCTATTCCTCCGGGACAGAGCTGAAAAGTCTTGAACCCCCACTCCTGAAAATTCCTAAATGTTTGTTCTCCGACATTCTGGAATCCAAACCAAATCTTAAACTGGCCCTACTTGGCTCAGCAATGCTTAGCTGCCGAAGCACACTTTTTTCAGGTTAAGACAAACCGTCAGACAGAAATCTACTCCTATACTGCGTGTGTGGCTGCTATAGGTCATTTGTGGTTTTTACTTCTCCTTGTCTGCTCATCCACAACCACTGGGATTAGGAAAGTGCTTCTGAAAATTGCCAGCTTCTAAATTGATCCAGGTTTGTTTTCTTCTACTTATAGATGTGTTTTAGGACTCACCTTTAAACTTTAAATAGAAAGAGTAGGCTAAATTCGAATTAGTCAGTACAATTTCTCCTCATTTTGTGAAAGTTATTTTTGACATTCTGACCTGTAATACACAGGAAGACCATGGAATCAAGCCTTAGGTGCAGAGTAATTGTGAAATGTAACAAATACACCATGCTTGTGGTTGTTCTTTGTTTCAGATTTCATTCCGTAGTTAAAATTGTGTTACAGAGCAGTCGGACAGCTGTGTGGAAATCCGTTCAGTCAGAGCTCTCCTGGTACTGTCGGGATCAAACTTTCCAGTTGATACAGAAAGGTACCCATAGAACAGGATTTGACTGGAGATCACAATGTTTCCTTCCAGACAGAAGGAAAATTGTAAAAAGAAGGATTCCATTTATTAAGGCTTAAAATACATGGCTAAACATGTTGTAATTACTAGATACAAACCCTTTTCTCTCTCTTCCCTCTTATCCCACTTACCAAAACTCCTGATCCGAGTATCCCTCCGAAATACCACACCTCTTCAGAGATCTGGTTGTTGTTCTCCACTGTTTTTCCTCCTGGGAAAAACAGCAGGATATTTGCGAGGGTACATAGGATGGCCAGAGGGATGAGGGTGATGCCGAGGCATTTAGCGAAACTCCCAGAACACATGGCTCCTGCAAAAATCAAGCACACAGTCCGAAAGATTTTAAACGTTTTCCACCTTTGTGCACAAAATCCAGACTCTGGATGTGGAGATATTCTCCCAGACCTGACTTCACACTTCAAGGCTTCAGGGTTTGAAGATGTATTTATAGACTTTGATGCCCATGATGTCACTGCAGCCGACCTTAAATTCGATTTATAGCAGTTGCATGTGCTATGACAACCATCTGCCTCGGTTAATATTCTACTAAATTTTCAAGATAACCTCACAAGCTCTGGGTTATTGAACACTGCAGCTCACCTTTCCTCTGCTACAGCTCCCTTTGTGTGTGTCGAATTCATCAATCGATCGATCAATTAACTGTCATCAGTGGAGTCTGATTTCTTCATGTGAGCCACCCATCTTGTACCTCCGATGCTTTATGACTTAGCCCTGTATCTCTGTTATTTGCCTTTCTAAGAGTTATGACTCCATGTGAAATACAGGACTGTTGCATTAACACTTCAGTAATTGTTGTATCTCAATATCTTAACTGCCCCATTCCTTTAATAAATGTCAATATATTTACTATTACTTGGTAATGGTTTTAACTGGCAGAAAGCTTCTGTTAACTAAAACTCAAATGACTCAAATGGCTGTCCACGTTCCATAGACCATGCTCTGAGTTAAACAATCTCATCTCAGATCGTGTCCTTACTAAAAAGACAGAAGAAGGTAGTGTGTTTTCGGGACCAGAGACAGTCCTCACTGATGAGATGTCCTGCCTGCAGTTTTCCACAATGCTGTAGTGCTGTGGAGCACACACTGGTTCCACAGCAGTGTACTGATTTCACAATGATCTCTATCTTGAACCCCTTGGTTTTCAGAATTGCTGGCCTGATCCCCCCCCTAAAGTATTTCTCCCTTACCTATTAACCTGCTACAGGTACACTCTGTTCAGCTGTCCCCCAAAACACAAGAGCACCTTTCAGGCAAAGCCCAGCAGTGTGTCAAACGAACACCATTCCTGTGATGGACATGCTGATTTTTAAGATTGTACAGTTGATGTGAGTATTACTTGCTGAGAATTGTTTTTGAGCTTTTGTACTGGGAGGTCTTTGCTGACAATGAAAGTGCCTTCTAAAAGTGTAGTTTTTGAGTAGCGTTACTATTGTGGTTGATGTTTTTGTTCACGAATGGCTCACCTTGGAGTTGACACTGGCTATAGGGGGTGCTCACCCTGCGGTCCATGTGGGTCCTAATACCCCAGTATAGTGAGGGGGACACTATACTGTAAACAAGCGCCGAGACGTAAAACCGAGGTCCTGACTCTCTGTGGCCATTATTCTCGAAAAGAGTAGGGGTGTAACCCCAGCGTCCTGGCCAAATTTCCCATTGGCCCTTACCAATCAGGGGCTCCTAATAATCCCCATCTATGAACTGGCTTCATCACTCTGCCCTCCTCCCCACTGAGAGCTGGTGTGTGTGAGAGCACTGGTGTATCATCCAGGTGGGGCTGCACACTGGTGGTGGTGGAGGGGGATCCCCATGACCTGTAAAGCGCTTTGAGTGTCCAGAATATAAGTGTAAGTGGGGAGCGTTCTGGCGCACTGTGGCAGCTGTTGTATCATCCAGGTGGGGCTGCACACTGGTGGTGGTGGAGGGGATCCCCATTACCTGTAACGTGCTTTGAGAGGAGTGTCCAGAAGAGCGCTATATAAGTGTAGGCAATTATTATTATTATTATTATTATTATTATTATTATTATTATTATAGACTCTGAGCAGGGAGCAAAGCCAGTGTGTTGGTGTACTGGCCCCACTTACACCTCCTCCAGCAGCAACCTTAGCTTTCCCAGGAGGTCTCCCACCCAGGTAAGTAGAAAGAAGAATCACTTCTGGGCTGTCGAGCCCCCATCAGGCCACTCACACGTAAAGAAGACTCAGCAGCTGAAGCTTTGCGTTTCTTTCGTCTGCTTTTCTGAGTGGAATTAACCTGCACTCGTTCCTCTGGAGCTACAGACTCCTACTCTGACCCTGGACATGTTACAGAAAGTCTGCGTTCTGCTTACAGGAGGGTTAACACCTATACATCATGAAGTTATGAGGTATTATGTAAATATCCCTCATATATGCAAAGGAAACACAAACACACATGCTCCTTAACCGGTCCAGGCCTTTCACACAGAAACCTGTACAGTCATGTACTGTGTTTAAATTTCTTTCAGTTCAGATTTCTGGTTTCTCTTCCTACAGGTTTGGAAACCTCCAGTCTAAATATTTATGCAATAGTCTTTGGGTCCAATATTTGTGCGGTTCTATCTCTAAGGTTATGCATATATGTGCGTTTTTTTAAAAAAATACAGTATAGTAAAAAACGAAATTATGCAAATTTTGTATCACTTTTTAAATATGGAGAAGCGTTTATCTTTCAGGAATATTTTCTATGGGAGACGTACTACATGCTTGTCTTGTTGAATGCTGAGGTTAATTTCGCACGTTTTAAACACAGGGGGTGATTTTTTTCCGTTCATGGCCCTCACTGGCGATGCGCACTGCGCATGTCACTGGAATTCGAACTTGCGTGTCGATGTATCCCAAGATCCCTTGCAAGGCTGGTAGTGGTGCTGCACAGTTTGAACTCTCGGTAAAACAGATATGTTTTGATTAACATTTGAGCAGCTTGTCGTAGTGGATTAATGTCCTGTGAGACGGTTGTAGTTACCCCAAATCCGATTTTAATCACACTGGGACGTCCGGTGAATTTAAATCACAATATCAATATGCTTTTGCGTTCGTTGCCGATTAACTTTTATTACGGGCTGCTTAATTTTATTTAAAGTCTCGGTATAATGAAGTACACTTTCTGCATTCGGGTTCAAATTTTCGTGTCACAAGACACTGAACCAATCTGTCCCGGATTTTGTCTTCAGACTGTCTATAACAGTGAATTCTGGTGTTTGCGCGTTTGGTACGGTACTGTACATTACTGCCACAGAGCTGCACGGAGGAGCTGTGTTGGAGGAGGATACGTGTATCAGTGTAGTTACCAATATGCAAACATCTTTTGTTTTAAAATCCTCTTCCCTGGCCTTGGCATTTTAAAAAAATAACAGGAGTTATAAAAGTGTACTATTTTGTGCACGTTCCACAAGTCCAGAAGTACATTGTCAAACTCCGGAGTCGTGGTCTGTTGAGGGAGCAGGTAGTGAGACCATGCGATATGCATTTACATCTCATCTTTCTAGGGAGAAATGCTGCCCCAAATGACTTTCTCTTCTCGCCGGTCACCCGTTGTTTGCTTAAACGGCTGTGTAGCTTCAAGCCAGCCCTTAGCCTCTCTTGTTGGTGTTGGTAAGTGTTCAGTCGTCACTATTAGGAGGAGGTAAATGGAGGGTGGGAGACGTCTGGGATGGTGAAAAAGAAACCATTCAGCATTCCCGAATTCCACTGGGGCTCTGTGAGCATAAAGGTTGAAGAAATGGCAGAAAATGAAAGAGCCTTTAATGGAGCTGGGCAGCACAGGGTTTCGCAGCGCGGCTTTGCAACGCTGGGGCCCTGGGTTCAGTTCCTGGGGTGCTGTCTGCGTGCCGTTTGTATGCTCTCCCCATATTCTCGGTCCAGACCCATGCTGGTAGATTAATTGGCTTCTGGGAAAATTGGCCCTGGCGTAAGTGTGTGTGTGCCCAGTTTAGGACTGGTGTCCTGTCCAGGGTGTACCCTGCCTCATGCTCGTTGCTTCCTCGGGATAGTCTCCCGGGTCTCTGACGATCCTGAACTGGATAAAGTGGTTTAAAAAATGACTAGATGGATGGGCGTGTGCAAAACTGAGCAGGGGGTTGTAACAGGAACACGTGTTCAAACACTTCAGGTAGATGTGAAAGTTACCTGCTCCTGACTGAAACACTGAGGGGAAGTTAGACTCCAGGTTCTATTACGTGGCTGAATAAATTGTGTGCTCTGGTATGATATTTGTAAACGTAACACATAAATTCTACATACTAGAGTAGGAGTGTAACCCCGGTGTCCTGGCCAAATTCCCCCCTGGCCTTTACCAGTCATGGCCTCCTAATAACCCCCCTCTATGAACAGGCTTCATCACTCTGCTCTTCTCCCCACTGAGAGCTGGTGTGTGGGGAGAGCACTGGAGCATCATCCAGGTGGGGCTGCACACTGGTGGTGGTGGAGGGGAGTCCCCATTACCAGCAAAGTGCTTTGAGTGGAGTGTCCAGAAAAGCGCTATACAAGTGTAAGCATTTATCATTAATTATTATTACTATACAAATGGTAGTAATGGTAGATTAGAAAAT